GCAAGATTATGTTATTCAAATTTTGATGGCTCTAGATACCGTTGTTTATCACAATGCGAGAGGCATACATTCATTCATGTACATTCTCCATTATTTAATTTCTTTAAATATAAGGCAGGGCGATAATATTTGGTGGCAACAATTTGAAAAGTGAAATAACGCTTATCGTGAATTGACGCAAAATGCCAAAACGAAATTAATAGTCCTTCTGGGAAAATTGCCGCTTTGGATTAATAATAGAATTTTCTGTTAACACTGCAATTCAATTGCACTACAAAATACAGAGCTCGTCTTGTTTGGAGCTTCGATGCGCTCAGGATAGCATTGTAATTTCGCTCAAAAGTTGAGATATACTGAAACCCGGTTCCTGCTGAATTTAAGTTCTAATTATAGCGGTATTTACCACATCTTTAAACGGATACAAATAACGAAACGAAATTGCTCAATTTGTCCTTATTTCACGCATATATTCTTGCAGTATTAAAGAAGACCAAGAGAAAAGAAAATTTTTCTTGAACTTCATAAACATCTGTTGATTAGATCCTTTAAAATGCACCTTTGTTTCGTTTTTGGTCGCGCTTTAAATTTCTAGGAAAGGTTCCAGATGATAATTAATGTATTAAATCTTAAAAGATTTAGTCTAAATTAAGATTATTTATTTATTTTAAAGATTTAACATCAGATTTCAATACTAAATAAATAATATTAAATTTGTCCTATCAAGCGCGGTGTAGAAGGAAAGGAGAAGAAGGGAAGAATTTCTTTTGCCAATGGGTAAAATACCAGTAAGCCCCAATTCTCTAAAGAATCGACTAAGTGAACGCATGTAAATCGCCACAGTAATGTATCAAATCTTAAAAGATTTAACACATTATCATATGGAACTTTGAAAGAAACTGAGAAATAAACCAACATAAACTAAATGAACGATACAGTGTAACCCTCAAAGGAGAAACCTCGCCTTTGTCTTGCCTAAAAATAATCACAAACTGCGCTAAATTCACTTTCATCTGAATAATACAAAGCGACCGCATGCAGGGACGAAAATTTTGTTCGTTCACGTTGGTTCACGTCTGGTACGTTGGAAATGGAACGGAGAAGGGATAATATTCTTTTGCCAATGTAAAATACTAGTAAGCTGATTCTCTGATGAATCGAATAAGTAAACGCGTCAAACTCGCTGTACGGTGTGAATTAACTTGTGAATGGGAGAATAAGAAAGTAGAGAATAAATTCAACGTTAAAATTGCATATAAATTTTGAGATTTGGCGATAAGATTAAACAAAATTAAATAATAAATATATAACATTAGATAAGGATTAAACAAAGGTGGATCAATTATTTTCGTTGGGCAGTAAAGTCAATAACCAAAGATAGATTTTACTTTTGCAGACCAAACAAATCACCTCATGATATTAATCAAAAACGTCACTGTAGACAATGTTTCAGGAAAAAATATTGTTGCGCTTCTACGGGTTCGTGGATTTGAAGTGATTAACGACAACACTTGATAAAGAATGAAAACACAATTTATTAGCCAGTATTACTAAAGACAGCTCGAAAACACATTTACAGTCGTCGAAAACCTACGACGAACACGCTGAAACAATCAGCAACGCAGGCTATCAGGCTGCAATGAAGACAGTTCCACGGCAAAGCACTAGAGTACACATCATGACTCTGTTCGGTCGTTCTCGGAACTCAGTGTACTCTCGAGACTCTCCACACTACAACTCGCGATGCACTCGATATCCTCAACGATGCACCAATTCGCAATACGCTGACGATCAACTCGATAGACTGCTACTCCAGAGGCAGGGTTTATAGAGCTTTTGGCCTGCCTTCGAGACTTTGTGGGCCAAACCGGTAAGATTTCGTTCTAGAACGTTCTCCACCCGTCTATTGCATATCGCCGATTTTGTCACCAAATGGGCGATTTCGTGCCAAATCTAACAACCCTGCCTGTCCTAACCATTTTATAGCAACCCTAAATCCACTTTGCGGAGAAGCTATTTTATCGCAGCTGGGCATTTTGTAACAATATCATTAAACACTCTTAAGTATTGGTCAGTTAAGAGGGCCCATGCCACACACATTTTTCTCTCTTTGCCTTTTCTAATATAAAATTTCGCGCACCGAAGTGTAAAATATATTTGTCTCTACGAATGAAAGAGCAAAGTTAAGACAGCATATTATTCATTTTGTTTTAAATTTCTGATTCTAAATAAAATCCATGATTCAAAGCTGTATATTTTAAATAATTAATAAGGATTTTATTAAAAAATGACATTTCCTTTTGGTCAGTTTTAAACTTATAAGCATGCGGCATATGCTCTAAGATATCGAGTCTGAGGAAAATCCTAAACGTACTTGAAATGACATCGCATCACAATAAAATTCTAAGCTTAAAATAAGTTTAAAACTAATTATAGTAGACACCTGATTAATATTTTTAATACCAACAACGTTCACGGTTAACCCAAAATCTCGATTAATCTCGCAGCAGTTAAAAATATATATATGGAAAAGGAGAATAATCCATATTATAATTAGTACGAAAATCCTATTTAAATTTCACCTGCATCTCCAATAATTAATTGAGAGAACAAGTCCATTTGGTCTCATAAATTATAAATCAGTAATATATACAAAAATATGCTCAAAAACAGAAAAATAATGCTTTTGTTTAGATCACAGCCCAAAGGGGAAATCAGCCAGTTTGCGAATCAGTCACACTTTTCGCTAATTGTTTGATATCGCTAACTTTAAATCAAATAGATGATTCTCTCTTGATTTCTAGCCTTTGTCAGCCAGTTCGTAAAATGGCTTGGTGTGAGAGACCGAAGTCGAAAGAAAAAGGCATGATATTAAATTTATTTATTACCCTCACTTATTGGGACAAACTGAATTCACATTTTCTTATTTCTACATGTTCAGAGATTTGCTGCGCATTTATTTATGTGTTCCGTGGTAAGCCACTACACAGAAGGGAGGGATGCCTTCATGGAAGACTTTCTAAAAGAAACTGGCTCGCATTAACACATTCATGTGAGGAAAACCACGAAAACGCCTATGCAGCCAGCCCATTTGCAGAATTCGAATCTCGAACCGAACTACCAGTGTTTAGGAACTTTACCGCTCGGCCGCTGGTGGGCTTATTGTTGTGCACTTAGTGGTGTGATTTCATCAACTGTAGTCCTAACCATCCGTCAGTAATTAGGAAGACGCAACAGTTTGCACAAATTTTTTTTCTGCACCCATGGATTCCAATGTGAACAGTTTCTCACTAAAAATTCGCTTCTGAAATAAAGTTGTTTGAGGAAACCATATTTGGCTTCCAACTTGTAGAAAGCCGGTAGATGTTCACGACACTTCTTCAATCACCAGAATGTCTGGTATAGAGATGTGTACATTATCTCCTATTGTTGCTGCTAAAAATTTTTATCTTTTGAATTTTTAAGCATTTTAGCACCTTGAGCTTAAAAACTAACTTGAACAATGTTTGCGACAAGATCGACAAGAATGTGCTGAAATGTACTCTTTTCACGCACTACACAGAATCCTTTTGCACTGTTATTGTCAGGCAACCGACCTGAATTTTTCGATGTCTCCACTGCCATGACAGCAATTTCGTTTGAGATGTTTTTCGTTTGACAATTTCGTTCCTGTACTCACAGCATCCTCCATTTCTCGTATGATTTTCTCAAAGGGTTTGTAATTGAGTCACCAAAAACCACTTTGGGCAGACTTGAAGTACTCAGACACTTTGAAGCTTTGCACCTAAACATGACCTCATAAGACGATTGATGAAGGCCTTGGTAAAAAGTATGATTTTTCATGGCTCGAATAAACCGGGGACTCTCGGACCAACATACTGATTCATTTGTATGCATACATGGCATCATCACAATCTGAATATCCTGGTTGACAAATTCGATAAAAACTTTTATCTTATGCCTCAGTTTTCTTTGTACCAGTTTTGATTCAGGCTCAGATCGCATAAATTTACGAGTGTTAGGAGAAAAAATTAAACAGGATGTTGGTGTATTTAATGTTTGAATTTAATAGTTAAAAATACTTTGTTTCTTTTTGTACCATCTATTATTCTCTTGCATACCACCAGTGGTACGCATATCCCCAGTTTAGAATCGCTGATAAAGATGGTGAATTTTGCATATGAGATTTTCCCATTTCCAACGAGCCCACCAGCGGCCAAGCGGTAAAGTCGCTGCACACTGGTAGTTTTAACCTGGTTTCTATTCCAGGCAAATGGGCTGGCTGCATGGGCCTTTTCGTGGGTTTTCCCATTCGTAACGCGTATATGAACCTTCAGAAGTCCTCCACGAAGGCATTCGTACCCTTAAGCAAATAGCCCTTGTGCGCTTTGCCATAATTAACCAAACCAAACCAAACCAAACCATTCCCAACGATAGAACGGGTATCGCCAAACATAGAAGTAACAAACCCCCTCCAATACTTCTCTGTTTGTAATTTCGCAGAAGAATTCCTATATTTAAATTTATCATTTAATTAATTATCATTAATTTAATGTTTTAATAACTTTTCATTTATTTCTTTTCATTTTATTTACTTTCATTATTCATTACTTTATTTATCTTATTCAACGGCTTTCCATATGATTCGGGCTCCTGTAATTTTACAAATTAAGCCCTGTTGTCCGTACAAAAATTTTGCAGTGTTTCTCTGGATTAATAAAGAAAATAAAAATTATTTCCCGTAGAAAGGTCTTTTATATAAGCATTTCTTTTCCTAGACCAGTATTTCTCGACCCAATATACTGCGAAACATCAGGATTACTGTTTAAAAAACTATAACCCAACTGGTAGCAACATGGACAACACATCTTGAATAAAACACATAGGATAATAACAGTAATGATGATGAGTTAATTTATTTAAAACACAGACAAAATACAAAATGCTTATATAATTCACTTTAAAAAAAAGTGAAGATAATTAGTAATACGCATTTTAAATAATTAGAAAAGACACCAGCAAGCAGTTTTTAATTCCCATGAAAATCAGGTTAGATACAGCAAATTAATAATAAGCCCATCTATTTATATCATATGCTTAACAACATAATTTATTAGGACTTACAAACAAATACACAAAAATGCAAACATATCCTTTTTAAAGAAACGGAAAATTATTAGAAATCATCGAAGCGTTCAGAAATGCTTTTTGGTATTTTGCTCTTTACAGCTTTGACAGGCTTGGCTTTCTTCTTTTCTCTATCGAAAGTTTTATTGTTTCGAGCTACATCCAAATTCATTTTTCGCAAAAAGTCGCGGCTATTGAAGTCAACTTGGTTTTCGAAATAAAAGTCGTTAATGAAATCTACAAGCTTGTCTACTTTATCTGGAAATGAAGCTACCGTGTCTTTCGGCTTCTTCTTTTTATCGCGATACATGCTGGGTAAAGGACGAACTTTGGCTTTTCCAAGACCGGTCAGCATCTTAACCCGATTGATGAAGAAATCAAGAATTTCATACTCGTTACTTTGCAAGCTTACATCACGCTTCACATTTTCGAATGATCGAATGATAATGCTAAGCAAAATGTTTATAAGCACTACAGCAGTGGCCAAAGAAAAGGTGAAAAAAGCTATAGGGGTGAATATAGGTTGCGCAGCATACATATCTTCATAATTGAATTTTTTAAGCATCATACTGATACAGGATTCGAAAGAATATACAAAAGTTGAGAACTCATGAACAAACCTGCCCAGAAGCAGCCAAAACAAAATAACAAAAGCCATGAACACTACCATTAAGCAAACAGAATAGCTCTGGAGTTCTTCGGCACAGACTCTCAGAGTGCTACTCAGAATTCCGATACGTTTATTAAAACGCAACAACTTCAGAAATTTCAGGGTGGATATAGACATTACAAATCCTATTTGATAACAAAAGAGTTCATCCAGTAATACGGCTTCTTGTAACTTCACGTAGCCCCTTCCTTCAGTTTCGGTGAATTTCCGCAAGATTTCAGATATAACAAACATTTTATAAACGTGGTTGGCAATGCCTGTGTAAGACACGATTAGACTTAAAAACTCAGCAACGTTCCAGTATTGACGAAAATACTCTCTTCCTTCTCTAATCATTCTTCTCAGCTCTCTGACTGTGAAAAAAATAGTGAATATTACAAAGACGATCTCAGTGACAGCTTGGAAAAAGCCAAAACCAGTGTGGTAATTCAAAAGTCGAAGAGGATCGATGTGGTAATATGGTATTACGCCTCCACCGGGAATAAATTCAGCCAAAATAGTAATAGCGCAAAAGAGATTTACTTGAGCATTATAAGTCCCAAACTCTACAAAAACCGCACGAGTGTACTTGTCTATCCAACCTTCTCTTTCTAGACGTTTTAACCGTTGAAGAAGCACCTTTATATCACTATCGCGCTCTGCTTCTAGAGGAACAACATATCCTCCCCCACCATACCAATCAACTTGCCCCCAAAATGGATAGCCTTTCAACTGAGAAGCTGTTAAGTACTTGTATTCTGGTGGTACCAAAGTCTCTGTGGAATTTACTTTTCTCCAGCCTTTCGTGTATAATGTTCCATCTTCAAATGCAACACTGCCAAATCCCGCACATTCTGGTGTGATCTCTTCTATTAGCCATGATACTTTACAACTTCCTGTATATACAGAAAAAAATGTAACCAACAGTTAAATATGTGATAGAAAATCAAATAAAACATCAAAGTTTATATTTTGAATGACTTAAAATTGTATGTGATAATAGCAAGTAAATTATATATTCATTAATAAATATTACAGTAAATAAAATATACTTAGGAATATTTATAACATTTATACAAGGACACCATATTTTGGATATCTGAAAACATTTCGAGCTCTGCAGAAAAATTAAATTTATGCTAAAACGGTATGCGTAAACCTCTGACTGTTTACATAAACTCTGCAGAGATATTCCATACCTTCAATTAAATGTTCATGTGCACCAAAGGGGAATAACTCTAATAAGGCAATTTCTAGCTCTTTAAGAGTAACTGGATAAGGTACACAGGCAAATACAACGCGTCCAAGAACATCCTAAAGATTTTCGATGGAGCTAAGATCAACCAAAATGCCATGCCTTCATTCTCGAGGTACTCATTAGTCAGATTTGCTTTATGTGGACCTACATTATCATCCACAACAATAAATGCTAGATACACTACTGTAGTTGACCATCTTACAGGACTGCGATATCTTTGAACTGTCACAGTACCTTCCGTTAAGTTGTGCAGATTGGTGCAACAGCTCAAAGAAAATCTAGCTCATACCATTACTCTGAAACTTTAGAATAAGCACTTCAAAGTCCCAATGACCCTCCCTTTATTTACAATCGTAAAGCATGTCATTATTACCCCCATTAAGGGATTTTAACAAATCAGAAGACTTGGACATCTTCGGCAGCAGCCGTTTCCATTGTTACGAGCAAACCAAAAGGAAAGAAGTCCGTATTCTTAAGTAACAGACTATTATATTTTTTCCCTTTCTTTCCACAGAAAACGGAACAGCCGATTCTCTGGGGCAGTTAGCATATCAGCCAGGTAAACTCACCAATGGAATTATCTTTGCTTCAGAGTTCCCTACAGCTATCTTTGGCAAAGGGACAAGTAAACCGATGTCTTTCAGTTTCCCCCCCCCCAAAGTCAGAGTTTGGAGGGGAAATGCATGATGAACACTGAGTGAGTGAGTAGCTCAGGATAGATGAAGGGTGCAATGCAGGTGAGGAAAACACGAACAGTTTCCACATATTTCTAAGTTACAGATGGATTGATAAAACTGAAATATTCTTCACGGACTTCCACAACGTGAGGGTATAATAAGTTTTGCAAATACATATAGTACAGCACAAAGACAAGGTATGACTGGTATGAGGATATGTAACACAATCAGTTAAATTATATAAAGTTAAACCATTAATAACACATTAAGAGTAACAATAAATAATTAACATAGTTACTGATAGGAAAATTAAATAATACATTTAGTGAAGCAGTAAATACAGTTATTTAAATGATAAAATAGATTTTAAGAGATTTAGAGATTTCAAAAATACAAATACTAAGTTTTAAAAAAAAATCGACTTAAACAAAATACATTTCATAGAATATAGTACTTAAAACATGGAGTTCAATGTTATTTCCAGTCATTTTCCCCCGTTCCTTATTTTTTTTTTTTTTTTTAATCCTCGCGTGCTTATTGGATTCCATCAAGAATTTTAACTCATCGGCGTACAGCACGTAGGACTTTTTGGCTGCTTTCCAATTGGCCTGCTAAGAATTCCTTTTCAGCAGTGCTCCTCAGATTTCAATGCTTATTCATGATAACAGCATATGAATCTTTCATAATTAATCTTCATCGCATAGTAATCATAAACATTGACATGCAAAGGATGAGATAGCCCTTGGATGACAGGGAACAGATTACTGACTCACTCACTCCTTCTCTTTTTAAAACACACAAATTTAATAGACTGTCCTAGTTTAAGCTGGCTATCAGCTAGCAAGCGATTAAAATCACCGCGTTTTAATTATCTTCAAGTCATAATTATCTTATCGAATCAACAAAAAATAACTAGAATCGTCTTTTAGCAATATCCTATCAGCAGAAAACTTATCGACTCGAAGCCTTTAGAAAGGTATCATCTTCAACCAATGCTTAACCCCCTGCGGCACAGTGTGTCCAGTCTGGACACACCTAAAAATTTCCTTCTATACGCACAGAAAAATTTAATGAAAAAGGATTTATAGGTTACTATAGGTTACTCTGAACCTTCTTTATTTATAGTAGATGGCAAACTCAACACAACCAGTCAAATATTTTAGCCATGTTAATTTTTAAGACCCTCATTTCAATCGAATCTTCTTACGGGTAAAAAGGAATTGTTTGAAAATAAATTTTCTATGTTATTGTTTTTGGCTGTATGCTAATCTCCTTATCCTATATTAGTTTTAAATTTTTACCTTGAAATCTTGCCTAAAATCAAACGGCGAACCCTAGGTGTGCCCAAACCGGCTTCGCCGATAATCTAGGACAACTGACAGTCTAGTGATAGCTCACTAGCTGTCTAGTAAGGCTGTAGGACAAATATTCCAATAACACTTAACTTATAAGTGAAGACCAAATTGATAATGAGCTATGTAGCAAGAGAAAGTCACTTTTAGCTTGCACCCCGCCCAAGATTTAATATTGCTCTGGTATTAGAAAGTCTGATGGAAAGTTTTGGTTTTATCATGGATACTATGTGAGCGTTGATAAAGCCACCCACCACTTTTGATGAGAGAAGTTCAGTGTTAACATTTTTGGAATAATTAGAAACTTCTTTTTTTATTATTGTATCCTGTTGCAGAGCTACAAAAGGTCACCATAGGAAACGCTACCTCTTAAATATCATAACAGCAAATGCATTATTGGATACATAGGCTTAAAATAGCTTTTTGGTAGAAAAACTTTTCAAGAAAAATTTCAGACTGTTCCTTACACAGTAGGAACGAAGGTGGTAGCGACACAAGGCAAGCAATGTGAATGCGCAGAGAAAGGAACTTTATATGCGCATGTTAAAAATGAGTACCAAAAGATGTTTTTGAGAGGGAGCAGGTGAGAAGTTTTATGGCTAATCCGATTCTGGGAATAGTCTGCCAGCGTGAAAGTTAATTTTCAGAAAGCTAAGGTGAATTTAAAGATGAACAAGCTGATAGGGAAAAACGTTCAGCCTTGAATTGGCAGGATGTAAAGGTGGAACAGAAAAATAAGTTGGAGCAATTGGTAAGAAATTTTTACGCTTGGGATGACCCAAATGGTCAGTCACTCAATAAAAACAGGAAATGATCTTCCTGTACAAATGCTGAAAAATAAAATTATGATATGCACAAAATATCTTCATAAAATAGCTTTTTTACCATTCAGCAGAAGAAAATATTGTGAAAGCTTTAGCACTGCAGTGGAACACATATAGTGATTTTTTCTCCTATAAAGTATCCACTGAACCTGGCACCACTTTTACCGGACAAATACTGTTGAAGGATATACAGCCTCCTGGGGTTGGTTGGACTAATTATTACCAGAGCTAAAATATTTAGGCAAAGCATACAGTTACTTCAAATTCATTGGCATGAACCATCTTCCGGACTATTATCTCTTGAATGGCACAACTTTGTGTCATTCCCGTAATCAAAGATGTATGCATTCTGAAATGTGTGTAAAGCAGCGATGTAGAAAAAATTTTAATTTACGGATTGGCTGATGGCTCAAAGACTGCATATGGAGCTGCAGTTTATATTCAACCTATTTCAAAAGAAAAGCCTGTATCCAGTCATCTTTTGTGCAGTAAGTCGCGGGTTGTTAAAATCAAGATAATGACGATTCACAGTTGTAAGTTGTCAGCGTGCTTACTTCTATCCCATCCAGTTATTAGGACTCTGTAATCCTTGAAATTACGATTTGACTAAGTGTATTTATGGTATGACTCCATTATCGTCCTTATGTGAATAAATGTGTCTTCTCATCGACTTAAGACATTTGTAAGCAACAGGGTTTCAAGCATTCAGAAGCTCACTGAAAACTTCAAATGGGGTCATGTACCCTTGAAAAATAATCCAGCAGACAAAATCTCACGCATGCCAGATGCTATAGATATATCAGCGAACTCGTTGTGGTGGCATGCCCCAGTTTTTACAAAAAGCAACCAATATGGTATAGTGGTTAGGGGAGTAATGCTGTGGGGCAAATTTTATAGCTGTAGGGTCAGCAGGCCTCTTCTGCAGCGTAAATGTGGTTAGGGGAGTCGAATGCGATAATGAAGCACCCAGATTCGAATTCCAGGGAAGGCATGGTTGTAACTGTCCATCCCTTCATTGGAGGCAACAATGGTCGTCTATTAGGTGCCTCCTCAACAAAATGGCCACCACTTCTAGCATTAGGAGTGGCCAGTGTCGAAAAGGCAAGTGCCCATCATTAGATATATATATATAAAAGGTTTTAACCTACCAGAGAGTTCTAATTTGCCTGTGCGTTATCCTAGCTTCAAGGACTAAAGAATATATCATAACAGAAAAATCCATATCATGAAATACTGACATGTATAAATCTTGCACTAAGATGTATAAGACTTAGGAAGGCCTCTCTGATTGCAAAATACATTCTATAAATAATATTTTGAATGCAAGGAATACATAACAGTGTGAAATCCATAGGCAAATCTGTCAAGTATACAGCAATATGGTTATGAGTGAAGGAACGATTAAAAGATAGATTTGTTCAACTTAGGCAGAACATATGTGCATGATGAAGTGAGAAGCAGATGGCCATCTGCTGTGAATGATAAATTGGTTCATTAAGTTAAGGCGAAAATTTGTGTGAATAGACATTTCATGATCTCCAGGATTTTGTTGGAGCTTTCTGAAGTTTCACATACCATTCTATATGAAATTGTTACTGAACATTTGGGTTACCAAAAAATGTGTGCATAATGGGTACCAAAATACTTACAAAAGAGAACAAAGGTAAATGTTTTGCTGCTGTTTGCTGGTCTTTTTGAGCTGATATACAACACCGAGGAGAATAAGCTGTTGAACTACACTGTCTTTGGCAATGGGATATGGATTATAAAACAATCAATGTAATGAAGCATTCTCCTCATTTACTTGGTGGAAATTCATATGAACCATTTCCACATTCAAAATTATGTGGATAATTTCCAGGGACAGAAAAGGTGGATTTCATATGCATGGACAAAACCGACAATGTTGCAGCTTATGGTGCAACACTGAAAAATCTATGGCATGCCATTCAAAATAAGATACGCAGCTTGCTTAATGATGGTGTCATTTTACTACATGATAATGTCAAGCCGCATTACACTTGTGCAACACAAGATCTCATTGATTCTTATGGATAAAATAAATAAAAAATCTGCTATATAGCCCTCACATGTCACCAAGTGACTTTCACCTATTCTTGTACTTGAAACAGTTCTTGAGAGGCCAGCATTTTGATGATGATAAAGCGAAAATGCCATAACATTTTTGCTAACCTCACAGGCAGCCATCTACTACTACATCTGCTGGCATATAAAACCTTGTTTCTTGATATGTAAAATGCCATAATATGCTGTGTAACTACAATGAAAAGTAATGTAATGTTTGTAAAACATTAAATATGTATTTTTGTAAAAACCCTCATATTTAATTCATAGAGATAAAATGCTTTAGTTTCTTACACATCATATTATTATTACACATATCTTAATAAATATCTATTTTAAATTTCTGAAGGTCTACCAGTGTTTTATGAAATAAAATATACAAAGCTATCTGAGAACTTCCACACTGCTACTTACGTGGCTGTATACGCACTTGTCTTAAAACAGCATATCCAATTTTTAAATTATTTCTGTCATCTAAATATAATCGTAACCCTAGTGGATCTCTGTCATTATACCAACGACCAGCAAAAAGTTCAGGAACTAATGCAGTATAGGTCCAATTCCAAAATTTCTTTTCTGTATTAACCTGGAATTTTAAAACAAGTCATGATGAATAGCAAATTTTATACATTCAGAAAAATTGGAGAGAGAGAGTTTAATGTATACATTTAATGTCTGCCTTCACTGGTTAGCAAATGATATAAAAAGTTATTCCCTCTCTGAGTATTTATTGTATCTGCTCAGCTAAATTAAAAAAATAAATAAATAAATAAATAAATAAAAAAGATGTGAATAACCATTCCAGTTTTTAACACAATATTTCCTATTATCTTTGATATAAAATTATAATCTAGTTTCACTTTAAACTGCATCATAGTTTTGGTCACCTTAATGAAGGTTTAAAAATTAATACCTTTTTATTATAGAATTTAAGTTTAAACTCTTTCAGGCATTAACAGAGAAAATTTGTATTTGATTATTATTTCAAGCATAACATCAAAGAATTTATAAATAACACTTCTCTAAAACAATTTTTTGATATTTGCAATTTTTAGACTTTTATTTTGAGATATAAATATATATATTGTAGTGAACAGTTAAAGAACAATTGGGAAAAGTAATTGATTAAAATAATGGTCTGAAATATATGAGAATATATTCAACTGGAACCATATGGGGATGGCTTTGATGCTTTGAACAGCTGGCAGTGTATTTCCTCTTTCAATAATGAAGTGCTTCCATATTTCACTGGTTATCACTCTGACAACGTTTGCCAAAACCCACCATGTAGAAATCCTCAATTAAAGAAAGGTAAATCACACAAGGCGATCCAAAGCTCAGTAAACATTACAAAAAAAAAATGTATTTCAGTTTATTTACAATACATGCTAACACAAATAGCACAAAAAGGTGTAAAATTATGGAGTAAAAAGAAATAAATTTTATTTTGCAATTATGTCTACCAGAAGGTACTGTACCATGGAATTCTGGATATATGGCTCTGCTACAGAATTATTATTGATAACAGTCAGCATCATGATTACCTGTTATCAACCAACATCACTGCTAACCTGAAAGAAATTCAATGATTAGATTTTACAGCATTACTGAAGAAACTCCCCCTCCCCTTTTCAGATAAATATAGTAATAAGTTGTTGTGTTTAGTATGAGAAGTTCAGAATTCAAATTGCTCCGGATCCTATTAGAGCCCAGCTCAGGAACATCTCAGTTCTTTAAAACAAATATTAACTGTAGTCGAAGTGCACCCCAGCCCTTAAATGAGAGGTCTCTAGTGCTTCATTTAAATAACTGAACCACAATTTCAGCAGAAAATTCTTTAGATTTCAAAAAATTTATTTTAACAATAAGTCTGTCTAGAAATCATTTCTAACTTCTGAATGCCTGCCTCTCTCTTTCTGAGAAACAACCACTTTGAAGAAACTTGTGATGGTAGAGAAGATCCCACCCACATGTGAAAGGCTTGTTCTCCAAGAAGTGCAATGAATTAATGACAGTGGGTAAATGTTTCCTTCTTTATTGGCAGGGTCGTGGTCAAGAAGTGCTGAACTCTTCTTTCTTTGTTTTCACACATATCTGTTAAAATACCTCGTGGCAATAGTATTTTCCCCAAGAATTCCTTCTCCCATCGCCGGAAACTCATTGTCGAGTTTCCCATCAACCTTCCTCTCATGATTTATTCTCTTCCAAATCAATTCTATCTGGCCCCTAACAAATGGGTCACCCCTCGGAATACTGATCACTTGCAGTCTAATTGTAAATTACCAAGGGAGGAGGAACAGCGGAGTTAACAGTATTCTCTTCTTGAGCGCATCTGCAATGACACCATCCCTCAATAGCACCCGCTACTGAGTTAGTTCAAAAGATAGTTCTATGTTTTTCTGCAGGTTAAGATAGTCTGTCTTTGAATTTTTCTTACTTCTTTGCATAAAATATTCTAAATAGCAATATAGCATTAATAAAGCTATTTTACATTGTATTATTATGCATTTATATGATTATAACTAAATAAACAAGTGCAATATTCTAAAATTTTAAGTTATTCGATAACTACCTACCTATTTAAAGCATTTTTATGACTTTACAAAACAAATTAGAATAATACAATGCTTGTTTAAATCAGTTATTAACAATTTATGTGTTATATTATAATGATGAATACTTTTAAAATGTCAAAGAGGCAACTTTCTGTTGAGGCAAAAATTCAAGCACATGCTGCAATTTAAGTAGTATTCTTAAAGACAATGCTTTGTATCTGATGAAATCTTCTATGATACAGCTGAAGAGCTTTTCACTTTAGTTTTGGATAACTACCAATACAGCTCAGTTTCAGTTTTAAGGCAGTATATTGTGACGGTGGTATTCATCACATGACTTGCAAATTATATCGGGTCAGTCCATAAGTTTGTGCGCATTAAGAGTATGCATGGAATTCACTATGACGCATTTACTAAAACAATACAATTTTGAACTTGTTGAAACTTGTCATCGTTTTGACTAACATATTATTCAGTTCATCACCAACTTTTGTAAATATCAAATGCATTTTAGTATCCATAGAAGGTGAGTATAGATAATCAGTACAAACATGCTGTGCTACATTTTTTGTTTTTGTGTGTTGAATCTGCCAGGTTTCCAGTGATAAAAATTAATAGTGTACATGGTGAACACACTGTTAGTGTAAGAACTGCCCAGAAATGGTTTAAAAATTTTAAAATTGAAAAAAGCAGCATTGATGATGAATCACATTCAGGAAGTTTTGAACTGTTAGAACCAAATCAAGCGATTAATTCAGAAGTTTATAATGAAAAACTTTGTCGTCTAAACTCAGAGTTGATCAAAAAACGCCCACAATTGGTGAATATCAAGAAAGTGTTGTTTCATCATGATAACGCTAGACCGCAACAACGCTGCAAAAAATTAGTGAATTTAATATGGGGCTTTTGCCACATCCTGCTTACTCCCCAGATATTGCACCAAGTGATATTTACTTATTTCGTGAATTACAAAATTTCTTAATGGGAAAAAATTAAATTCTAAATAGGATGTACACAATGAACTTTCAAGTTTTTTGCATCAAAACCAGAGTCTTTCTACAGCAATGGCATACAAAAGCTGCCTGTAAGATGGCAAGACATTGTAGATAATGGAGAAAAATATATAATTGATTAAAATGTTAAATTGTGTTTTTTTTATATTATTTAAAAATTTACCAAAAAATCACACGGATTTATGAACTGACTCAATAATTTGTTATTTAACTATGTATTTATTATATTGGTTTTTAATATTAACTTAAAAAACTCGCATAAACGTTATTTTACATAAGCTATCGAGAACATTGAGGTGACATACTGGTAGCTCACGGTCGATCATGTAACATAGCCTGAACAGAAAAAGCTTCATTACATTTACTGCAGGAATAAAGAAATAATACCATAATAATTTACAAGACAAAGACTCTGATTTGGAATTTTAATTAAAGTATCATATTTTTGATTGGGCTCTCTATTTTTGAGGAAGATTGGGTTTTGATTAATTACAGGAGCACATGGGAACTATGAGCCTAGCAGAAGAGTTGTCTTCGTAGAGAGCTCTTTACCGGAAATGGACTTGTCTTCACATAATGCATATGGAAAATCCCAAGTGGTGAGTCTTTTGCTGAATTGCGAGTTATTTTGATGAAAATAATGCAAATTTTCTTAAAGCAAGGATTTTTATTATGTTACTGCTTGAATGATGAAAAGAAATTTTTACCATCCTAATTCATTACTAAGTGTTTAGTCAAAATCATAGTATTCATCCAGTAAAACGAATTTTGTAAAAAATGTTACACAACACTAACCAGATAGTTCATTTCCCCCCCCCACCTCAGTAAGTATCTGAAATAACTATTCCCAAAATATAATCTGCATTGAAAGTATCTGACATTAAAAAGAGAGCAAATGTTAATGGAAAATAAATAATGCTTTATTATTGCATAAAAGTAAGCATTGTTTTATGTATGCGGCAGTTAAATTTATGAAAATAATGATGTTTTTACACTGATTTAACTATAGAAAGTAGTAGATACTTTCTGATCAGCACTTATGATTTAAAATTGTGTACAATATGTAAATTTATTGAATATAAATTAAAATTAAAAATACATTATGAAAGAAAAAAGCTAAACACGTTTTAACAATCATGAAACAAAATTAATTTAAAGAAGTTAAAGAGTTTCACTATGCAGTTGAAGATGACTCAGCAATTATTTAAAGTTGCAGGTGAGACAAATTGTAATTTAGTTACTGGAATAGTTGCAGATAGTTTAGTTTGTTAATACAGTTGTCAGTCCTTGGTCAACACTGCGGTAATGATGGTACGCTGTGCTGATATGGCAACTCCTTGTAAAGATTGAAAGATTGGTAACTGACTGGTTTACAAATTATTTAGGTTGTGTGTTACTCACTGCATATAGAACTAAAAACAAATTTATTATAAATATACTAGAAACTTTATTATTGATAAAATAATGACAATTAATATTTAATGCATAGGTAGATAAAAATTGTGAGTTATTATCCTCATTATGTGAGAATCTTGCAAGCAGCAAGTTTCTCTATACTTGAGAGTTTAAGAGCATTATGTCTTACCTAAACACTTAAAATAGTCTGGGGACTGAATTAGTCTTTCAATCATGTTTTACATTCTCTGATTCATTATAGTTGCAACGATATCAGAGGAGTAAACAGGATCACTGGTTCATCACCTTGCCTGAAATCGAGAAGCTTTGGTGACAGACATAGTGCAGATCATTAAAATCCATTGACAATGGAAATTAAGTTATGATTCTTGTAATGTCAAGTGGAGCTGTAACTGAACGAATTATTGCTTCTGCAATGTCAGAGCCTGTTGCCTCACAACTTATACACTAAGACTTGTGGGGGACCACACACATAAATTTCATATCTTCATGTAGCATTTGTGGAGCCACTCAGTGCTCACAAATATGAAAGAGCCAGAATTCTTGAATCTAGCACATAAAAGCTCTTTTGCCTTAGTGGTAGACGGTACCATTCCCATGTCACAGTTTCAAGTTCTTTCTCTGCAGCCAATGTAGCATCTCACACAGCAGACTCAACCCATAGATCTTCCCATGCGTAAACCTCCGCTAAAACACCAAAAGCGTCACACAACTGCAGACCATAAATCATCATGGCTTCCGACCACAAAAAGAGTTTAAATTCTTACTAAGTGTAATTATAGGGACCAAGGACCATTTAGAAAGTTAGATTTTCTGATTTTTACAAGACTGAATTTTTTTGAAATTTAAAATAGCCAAAACTTGAATATTTGCATCATTTAAAATATTTTTAAAACTGGAAATATATGTCTATGACAAATGATCATGATAATAAAGGCCAGATAAGGACTTTTATGGACACAGGTATATACAAACACTTCTAACAAACACATTATTTACTATATTTCTGTAACATAATTAAACATCACCTAACGAGCACCCCTGAATAATTTGAGTAAAAAGCAAAACAAAATGTTAAAAAAAAAAAAAAAAAAAAAAAAAAAAAAGACTCTCTTTAACGAGCGATGTTTGACAAAATAGAATGAGTAATGTGGACACATAGCGGCATTACATTCAAGATCCTGCTTGCATCTTGACTAGAGGCTGCCCGTAATAAAAGAGATTGTGACTAATGCCAAGATTACAGGGCTAAAGGTAGATATAGCAACAACATTGACTAGCTAATGGAAGAGCACAGCCAGCAGCTGACAACAGACGAGTCAATTCAGCTGCATTTTGTGTCACAGCAAGAAATTGTGGAAAAAATTTCTTCAGGAAAGGAGGCAATAACAGACTCAGCAAAGCAGCAGCTTTCCAGTGAAATATAGGAGATGCTGAAATAATAAGAAACTGTTGCATTGTAGCTTGAAAAGCAACACCCTAATAAGGCAATAGACTAGTTTATTAAACAATAAGACTCAATTAATTTTCTCCAAAATTTTGAAATGTTCTGTAAAAACTTGCCTTTAGGCAATTTCTAGCAAAAGAGGATTTATTATAAATAATAAATTACAGTATCATAAATTTACTTGAGTATATATATATATATATTTCAGAATGGAATGCATTATTTAATTTTACATTGATTCCCACGGAAAAATAATATTTCATATTACAAGAAAGATTTTGGAACAAATTATGCTCTTTAAGCGAGGTTCCACTGTATGCTTTAATTTCATAAACATACAAAAATAACACCGAACTGAATTAAATCTATAGTTTCAATGCATACTCACATTGTTGAATTCCACCCACAGATCTCCTGGTTTAATAAATCCATTGACCAAAGCTTCTCTCAAGTAGAAATTATTTGGATCTCTATTACCATAACTCAGTATCATAATTACCCAGAGGAAAAGGAAATAGGCAGAAATTTCTTGAATGACACTGTACATTTTTAGTTCTTTTTCCCTTTCCTTGCGAGCTTCTTCAAGTGCTTCTAGATCCACTGGCTGATAAACAACTCCCTTCTTGGTACGTTTATCTACAGCATAAAAATTAAAAATACATGATAATGATGTGCAGTGATATGCCTTTTTTCAAATGCTTGAATATGTCACAAATTGCTATATTTACTTTCATGGCATGTGGCCTACACTTAATGAATAGAATAGATCATAAATTTTCACGGATTGCAATCCGAATCCTACAAAGATTCTCAACTCTTTTGAGTTTATGAAATCCTTTGGATAAAAGTAATAAGAAGAAGGCAGGGGGTATTTACTAACATCAAATGATTTTAGTTGAAGCAAATCTGCATCTAATATGAAAATATAGAAATATATTTCAGTGAGAGAAGGGAAAAAACTAATCATGAGGTTCATTTTCTCAATATGATTTAATAAAATACATTTGAGTTCAGTTTCCCCCCCCCACAACATTTTTTTTCAATCAAACTAAGTGTAGATGAGAAAGGATTATTTGAAGATTTAACACAAAGAAAGAACTTTTATGGACATAGAGTATCTATCATATTTACTCAAAAAAAAAAAAAAAAAAAAAAAAAAAAAAAAAAAAAAGACCTACCCCCACCCCAAATGTAAGACCTTTCCTACATTTTAAGCTAAATTTTTAGAACTAAAAATATAAGTGGATATTTATTTTGCCCTGCATTAATTCTGAGAAAGAGGATCTTTAGTTTTTTATCTCTTCATGCAGAATTTTCTTGAAATTGAAATATGGTTAGCTGGGCCCAGTGGCACTGTCAGTGATATATGGTTACCTATTTGTTCTTAGGCATACCAGTAACTACTAGTATAGTGGATTTAGTGCTAATTATGCAGTTTATATACATGGTAATTATATGTATTGTGTATTTAATATTTAAGCAATATAATTACTATACATAATTGCATTATTCTAAGGTACTTAAACTGTTTCCTCTTATCCAGCAATTTCAATTATTAAAATAACGAATTATATGGCTATACCAAATTTTAGAACTAAAAAAAATAGAGGGGGAAAAAAAGAGGTGTTGGTAATTTTAAACTGCAAATTTTAGTCTTTAATTGAAATTTTTCCATGAATATTGACTGTTAGAAAATTTTGCATGAATTAAGAGTTGTTTCAAGTTCCTTATACACATAAGTAAAGCTCTTTTCAGAAGGTTATTATTATTATTATTAATTGTTATTTTAATATGCCAGTGAACTTCCCACTTGCAAAAGTGTCTAGGGAGCCCAGAAAAACTAGTTTTTATAATACTGGGTGTAGTTACATTTCATATTTGGAATTTCCTATTTTATACATAAAATCTTCTACAAAATAATATCTAATTTAATAATGGTCATGCATTCTCCAAAAGTTTTATTTATTAATATCAGCTTATCAGTAGTCATGCTTAAAAGCACCTTCTTTCATAACATTAAGCAGCAGAAATGTGTTATTTTCTTGCTTACAAGTATGTGCCAATGATGCAAGATCTACGCTTCTTTATATTTCTTGTGCTTCTCATTATTGAACAAAGGTACAATATATGCAATATACACTGCATTCATGGAAATCCTTACATGGTCTTTATTTTCCCAATTGTTGGTTGTAAATATATTTCAAATTACAAGAATGTTTTAAATGAGGAAAGTATTCAAATTTTGGCATTTTTAAATTAGCAAAACAATTAATTTTGTAAAAATTATAAAATTTATCTTTTTATACCATTTTACACGGGAACTTGTACTTATGGTTAGTGAAAGTTTATGCTTGTTCTAAAACATAAAGCATAAGATGTTGGACTCCCATGCAACAAAAACTGGCCAAAGTATTTCCTTTTAAAATTTTGGATCATTTTTAGGGAGAAATCTATAAATGCCTCCTCAGAATATTTTGAAACTAGTTTCAATTATGATGAATATGTCTCTGAGTATGATCACACATGCAATCTGCATGCCTGTTCTTGAACAATTACATTTGTATTTTTTCACACTTTAGATGCTAGCAGGACAGGAAGCAAGAGAATAGTGCACATACCACAGTATGAAGATATATTAAGTATAATACTGTTAAGGTTTTATTAAAGATTTGATTTGTAAAATTCTACTATTGTCTGAAAAAATTTTTGCATTATAAAAGCGCATGCATCATGAGTGTTATACAAGAATTTATGCCAAGGATTAATTTTGCAATTAGAATACTCAGAGAGATTTATTATCAAGATGTTACTATTTTTAGGATAGAAAAGAAAAATATCCATATTATAAAATGGACTTCAAGGGTTATTACAAATTAAAGTTAATATCTTATCTTATACTCACACAATAGCATATAATGCTAACAGAAATGCATATAATTTAATTATCATTCATTACCAAGAAAAAGGTTAGAAAAGTTTTTAATTTTAAACAAAATATTTTTTTTTTCATCTCTTTAAGATACAGAAGTTACACATAAAATCTGTTTTCAGGACTAATATTACAAAGAAATTTGATATGATTATTATTAGATATTATTCAACATTTATAATGCAAATTCAATAAAGATATAATTTTTTAAAAGTTTTCAAAAATATGGTACTACGTGTTTGAAAAAAAAAAAAATGCTGCGGAAAAGCAAAAAAATACATTAAGGAGTCATACAATCATGCAAATATTCTTCATCTTTTTTAAGGTGGGGATCTTCTTCATCTTCATCTGCATCATCTTCATCATAATCATTGGAGCGACACATGCAAGATATCACTATAGCCATCAGTATAATCTAAAAGCAAATACAGTCATAAATTAATATATATGTAAGGAAAATAAAGAATATGTAAAAGATTAAATTAGCAGTGTAAATTAAGTTCCTTTCTCTATTCTAAAAATAGCAACATCTATTTGCACTGCATCATTTCGACAAAAATTTATGTTGTATGACTCTTGTGTAATTCTGGTGATGTAAACTGAACTAAAGAAGCCAATAATAATTTTACAGTAATATTAACTATAAAATCAAAATGCTTTGAGAACCAAAACTAACTCAGTTTGACTTGAGATTTCATCCTGAACATAGCACTTGCTTTTTACACTTAGCTAGACTTCTGTCTGTCTGCTGCTGATTTCTTGCTACAAAGTTATCAAAAATGTAAGCTGTTTGGAACAGGCACATTTAATGTGCTGACTTGAGTGAAAAAACTTTTAGCAACATGTTGCTAAAAATAAAACTGAAGATTTAATCTGCCTTTGCCTCAAATTTCCTAGTCATCATGGATCAACACTTCTATGCCGTCCTAATTCCTGCTCTTGAATATATTACAATTGAGTTGACAGGATACATGTCCTGTGTGTTGAAATTCCAGTAGAAATGTCTGCAATAACCAACCATCTCCTCAAACTTCTATGTGTAACGGAAATTCATAATAGATATTGAGTATCTGCAAGTCCAAAAGTGCTAACATCAGTGAAAACAAAGTGTACGACTATCACTATTGTATATTTAGGGGAAAAAAATGTGCTTTAAATCATCAAAGTGTACCTGTGCTTCACAGAAGTGTTATCATCGAAATTGTGGCTACGACTGTGAAAGCGAATTAGTTAATTAATGCCTGTATCTTCAATATATGTACGGCTTTGTCAACCTATGTGCGCAACCTAGTATCAGCAAGTCAACTACACTGAATTGTTCCAAAACAAGTGTATTTAAAGTCAAAATTCATGCTTCAAAATTTAATCCAGCATATGTGCTGATTTAATAAGTGCAACGTAATTCAACAGCAATATAAAAATATGGAAAAAAAAAATCGAATAATAGATTTGCTGTGAGTACTTAAAAATGAAATCTAGTACCAGCCTTTAAAAATTAACTCAGCGTTTGTTTACAGTAAAATAACGAATGTTTTCCGAGTGCTAATGTTTCAAATCATTCCAGTGCTTTCAAGGTCATCAACCTGCATATCTTGATTCGGCTCTTATGCGAATAAATTCACAGTTATGGGATTAAATTTACACTTAAAGTAGGTGCCAGAAAACTATTTTTCGCTTCTGCTTTTGCGCAACTGAATCTAAATTGGGAACTGATATTTTTTTTTCTGAATAAATTGGACATTAAAAATGAAAACTGTGTTATAAAGAAATATAATTTAATAATATTAAAAATTTGAATTCTAATAAATTAGTAAAGCAAGTAAAGAATTCTTAAACTTTTAATTATTTTTAGGGAAGGGTATTAAAATAAGTTTTTATATTTTTGAAATTTTGTTGAAAATTTTGAATATGAATTTTATAATTATTCTAAAAGTGAAGTAGATGTAAAAACTGTGTGAAATTAGTACAGATAAGTAATATGAAATTATGGTAAATGCATGATAAAATTTATGGGTGATTGTGTGTTAAGTATAGAGTATGTTGAGGGAGTACTGGTTCTGAATCAGAGTCTTGTTATTACCTCTTTACAGTTGTTCCTTTTATCCTCTTCATGTAAGATAATGTTAGAGGCTCTCATTTTATGAGTGTGTGTAATATTTTATATTATTATACTTTTTTTTTATTGTGAAATGTATTAGTGTAGTTCTCAAAGGCCAGTTACCTTATGCAAGGAACAGAGAATTTTTCAAGTAACTGCCTAGGCACCCTGGGCCACCAGTGCAGAGAACACACTGGTTAGCTCAAGAGGACAGCCCTATTGATGGATATGTTGGTTTAGAAGTATTGCGAGGCCTTCCAGTTTGCTAAAGTCAGGAATTGTAAATGAAAGATAATAACGGTGAAACATAATTTCTGAAACTGTTACTCCTATTATATTTATGGTGTTAAAATATAATTTATCAGTATGGAAATTAGTATCATAAATATTTATGTGCGCTACATTTAATTATAAGTAATGATAATGTAAAAGTTTTATTCTTGTGATATTCCTGTGATAACAAGAACCTTACCTTGAAAGAATTATGATTATGTGAACTCTAAAAAAAATAAGACTTTTGGGCTGAAATGCTGATAAATTCAATAGGACTCTCTAAATTAACTAAAATTTATTTTAAAAAATTGATATTCTATAAATTGTACTTTGGGGGATCAAATATTTGTATGAAAAATAAAGAACTTTTTCATATGCTAGTGCTTTAACGCTTAGCAGCTTTAAATTAAGGCTTCTCTGTCGCTATGCCTTTATTCTTCTTGAGGGGGCAACATCTATTTGCACTGTGTCATTTCGAGAAAAATCTATGTCGTATGACTCTTACATAATTCTGGTGATGTAAATTGAACTAAAACTCAAGTAGCCAATAATAATTTTACAGCAATATTAACTATCCAATCAAAATGCTTTGAAAACCAAAACTAACTCAGTTTGACTTAAGATTTCATCCTGAACATAAAACACTTGCTTTCCACACTTTGGCTTAGCTACACTGCTGTCTGTCTGCTGCTGCTTTCTTGCTATGAAGTTATCAAAAATGTAAGCCCTATGGAACAGGCGCATTTAATGTGCCAACTGTGTGTAGCCGCAACATGTTGCTGAAAATAAAACTCAAGATTTAATCTGACTTTGAGTCCGATTTCCTAGTCATTATAGATCAACACTTCAACGCCATTCAAATTTCTGCTCCTGAATACATTACATATATATAGCAAAACAAACTAAAAATAACACATTTAAAATCCATCCCATATTCAACTCAGAACAAATATATGCAAAAGCAATAAAAAAGAAAGGGAACACAACATGACAAGACCAAAAATGAAATACGAAATTTACATCTTTCACAACTTTGTCATTAATAGATTGGTGCAATGAAACAAATAAATAAATTAGCCTGTTTCTGAACCAGCAGACACACAAATTAAAGTAATTTGTGACTTTTTCAGTCCAACCCCAACAGGCTGAAGTAAGCAGTGTAAACAACTGCAAAATAATCCCAAGTAGCACACAACGTTGCAAACTGGTCCGAGAGGTTGCAAAGTGGTCATGGTAACTTTTATGACGTCTTTACAACGTTGCGAAGACGCAAAGTATTTGCCGTTGCATCTTGGTAATTTGCCAACATTGCTGAAACGTCATGATATGACCCCTTTTAGATGTGGTCGTTTTAGCATTTTTTTTTAGTTCATCAGCATTATTTTTAGAATGAAAAGACAATAAATCTGCCATTTCAAGAATCTGAAGTCCGCATAAGATTTACTTTGCGATGTTTCATTACTTTATTTCACCTAAATATATTAATCTATGGTAGATTCATCTAATGAAATGTAAATTTAATATAAATACTTTAGATTTATTGAATTTAATTATTACTAAAAATACATGCAAAATAATTGTTTAAAATTTTGTTAAAATAATTAATACTTAAAATATTTTTTTATAAATATTATAGCAAAATATTTAAAAATGAAAGTAATCTATAAAGTAAAGTATTAAGTTACGCATTTTATATACTTTAAAAAATCATATTTCCGAAATCAATGCAAATCACATGTTAGCAATTATTTCACTACCGAAATATGTTTTTATTTCTTATTTTTGAAGCAAGGACGAATTCACGGCTGTCTAATATATATGATGGAAAATTCATCGACAGTCAGGAGAAGCAAACCTGTACATTATTTACTGGATGCTTACATAAACGAACATCTCGAGATGTGCGCGCTTTGGCGAACTGCCAAATTCGAACAAGAAACTGCACAATTAATTCAGATTCTAGCATTTCTTTCAAGTAGTTTGGTAAAGATGTCATCTGTAAGGCGTTTGAAAAGACTTACTTCAGGTTTGAAATTGAATCAAGCAATGACTGATATAAATAATATTCCTTATATTAAAAGTAAATGTAATGCACTTTCAATCAAAAAACGCATTTTGAAACTTCTTATTGTTCTGTATCTACTTGCTTCAACTGCCTTCAGCGAGTGAAATTATTGTAAGAATGCTGAATTTGTGCTTATTTTGTATGTGAAAATCTGCTCTACAAGAAATGCTAATCATGAATCTAGTGTTCGTGAAATAGTATCTCTGTGGTCTGTGGAATATAGTATTTGTGAAATAGTGTCTCTGTGGAAAAAGTGTCTGTCTCCAATCACTGTGGTGCCCAGCAGTGCAATATTTGGATAAATTTACTAGCTTTGTGCTTCGGTTTTAATGTCCTGTTGACTTTCAGAATTCATTCATATAAAACCAAAAATATCATATAATGGTAAGCCACTTTCTGGTTGTGCTGAAAATGCAATCAATACAGAAGCCATAACAATTCAAGCTGTTATGGTATGTTCATTATTTTCAAAATACGAGGACATTATTGGACTGGTACCAGTACTTAATATGACTGCTGAAGATGAATTAGATATACATATAATATAAGCAATTAATTAATTATTAAAATTAATAATAATGCACATTCTATAGTATATTGTCTTTTGTACAGTATGCAGAAAAGGTTAATGATTTTAAACAGCGTATGAAATGTATGATCGAAAAACTAGTGTTAAGGAAACATTAGTATTTCTATGAAATATCCTAATCTGTAATTATGTGATATTTAATTGTGTAATATTAAAAAACACTAAGTATTTTTTATTGATTGAAAATTGCAGTTTTATTACTTTTCGTTTGGTATCTATTCTTCCAAACACTGTGTAATTTGCGTTTTTTTAAATATTGCCGTTATGTATGTTTATTAGATTATCTCAATAAATGAATGTTGGAAATTAGGTTTTATTTTTTATTAAATTTAATTATATTATATTTTCTTCACTTACTTTTTATGTGCTTGTGATAACAAAGAAATTTATAAGCAATAGAAACAAAAAATTTCATCGTGTGCTCTTTAACGTACTTAGCTTACTATCATATACTATGTTATTTAAATTATTTCTGTACAGTAACAAAAGGAAAGTTATTGATTATAAAAAGTGCATGAAATAATCATTTTAATCTACCACTATTCTAAAATGTAAAAACTAAAAATAAGTAAATACATTAACATATGATTGAAAGAAATGGTGTTAAGAAACATCAGCATTACTAGTAAATACTGCAATCCATAATTATTGCACTTTTAATTACTTACTATTTAAAAAATACAAATGTTTTTTTTATTAATTGGAAGTTTTAGTTCTGTTACCTTCCTTCTGCTATTTACTTTCAAACACTACTAGTTAATGTTCTTTTTTAAATAGTGCTGTCTAAATAGTGATGTTGTTTGTTAGGTTATTATTTCATTTTAGATATGAATATGGAAAATTATTAGCAGATTTAGGTATATTTTTGATCACATTTATTAACTACTTTATACTGTCTTTCATTTGCATATCTTGGAGATATAGATGTTAATGGTTATATTTTTTACTGTGAAACAAGAATAAATTTATACTTGTGTTCAGGTAAAATATTGATTATGTTACCTTAAGAACCACTTCCTAATTTATCATGACAGGGGCAATTTTCAATGTCTCTGAGATTTAACAGAAATAAATGTGATAATGCTGTTATCAGAAACTTTCTTTTTTTTTACTCACATATATATCTTTATTTACTTAAAACCTACTATTAATGTTATATATTTATAATAACCACTTTCATAATTACTCTCACTTAAGGGAAAAAAATTATGAAATCTTAAATAATCATAACTTAGAATTTAAGTTATTTGAAAAATATAGTTTAAAGTGCTGAAAATAATTAAGGCTTTTTATTAATTATGCATATTTAGTCTAAAGAGAAATTTTAAAACTATAGTTTAAAGTACTGAAAATAATTAAAGCTATTATTAATTATGCATGTTTAGTCTAAAGAGAAAAAAATATATTATCTTCTGGTTTTCAGGAAAGGATAAAATATTTAAACTTAGATAAATACAAGGACAACAAAATTTTAAAAAAGAAGAAAAATATATTAATTATTAAGCTTATTTTTCTGCATAAATCAATATGTAACAAAAGGACATAATAACGACATTTTCCCAACTGTTGCAAAAAGGTGGAATTTTGAGAGCATTTAGGCGTCTTTAAGACGTCGTAATACGATGCTTTCACAACCAAAATATCACCTGCAAAAGACACAATAACGACGTCTATGCGACAAAAATCTCATCTGCAAAGACGTAATAAAGACGTCTTTGCAACAGTTGTAAAACAGTGGATGTTCGCGGACATCTGGGCATCTTAAAGATGACATATTGCAACGTTTTTGCAATGACATCCGCGATGAGTTTGCAACGTCGTTACGACATTGCTGTGCTACTTGGGATAGCATCAAAAACATTACAGAATATTATTATAAGCAGACTGAGTCCAAAAACAAAATCTGCAAGTATAAACAAACTAAAATATACAAAAACAAAAGCATGTAAATTTTCAAGCCCTAGAGGACGTGCCAAACACTTTTTAAAAAAATTATAGCATCCAATTAATAAATAAATTAATTAATTAAGTAGGAGAAATGCTTAAAAAATCAAATAATAATTCTCAATTTAAGTGAATCGAGTCCAAAAACATGTAAAACAACATGTGAAAATATATGAATGCTTGAGTGGGAAAACACCAATTATTCTGAAGTTGCAAGTGGACTGACATTAGAAGGTTACTGAAATACTGATTATGTAGTAGAAGATGCCAGAAACGTTTGGAAGAATTACAAAATTCCACATTGATCATCCAAACATATCTTTATTACTTATTGATTACTCAATGGCACGGCACTGCACAATGGGGACAATCTGCACCCATCAATTTTAATTATGATGCATTAAATTTTTAATAATGAACTGAAGGAACCATGCAAGAGACACATCCTTTAGCTAGCAAGCATAATCAGCAAAAGCGAGTGTGTAATAGTTGCAGTAGCATTTATAATCTCAGAGCACTTTGTTTTAATTCGGCACAGCAATTGGGCAAGAGTTTTAGCAATGCAGTTACTGCAGGAAAAATACAGATGACTTGAACACTGTAGTGTTTTAATTGAAAATTAGAAATTTATAGGTCTATTTTCAATTCTTCTAATTAAATTTTATTTGTGAATAGAGTTCCATCATATTTTTATTTCTTACATATCATATATGCAAAATCAAAAAGTAAAGGAAGGTTGGAATGAAAATGAATAAAATTCTGTTTCTGAGATATGAAGGTCTAACCTTTCCTTTCTCAGTAAAAGTTAACATACTGAATAAACACAAATTAATGAAACTTTCAAAAACGAAATCGTAAATTGAAATGATTGAAATGAGAAAAGAGAAAATACCTTAAAAATTTCAAAACATGATGCATAACAAAATAAATACTGCCCCCCAAAAATTATTAATTTCTATTGTTTAAGAATTCAAACAGAGTTTGTCAAGGGAAAAGTGTTTTGAAGCCTTAAACCAAGTTGATTAATGAGTTCCGAATACATGTTTCATTCCTTTAAACCATTTTGACTAACCTCTGAACCATATAAAAATGGATATGGTTCATATATATATATATATAAATATATAAAGTTCAATTTAACTTAACATAAACAATTTCAAATACAAATTAACAACACATAAAGTTGCAACCTTTAAGAAATACAAAGTTAAGTAAATGCATAAAAGGCATTCAAAATGTGTATTAATAATAAAAAATGAAACTGTTGCAAAAAAGATGAGTAGGCATATAATTTAAAACACTACATATAAATTACATTGGTAACTGCTCACGTATGAGTGCAGTTTTTTTCAATTTAATGTAGGAATATCAATAAGAAATTAAGGATTCAATAATTTATTTTCTTTCAGCTACACACCTTTGTAAGTAGTGAAAAGGCCAACTTAAAGAAACTAATTTAATTATACCTGACAGAGAAGATATTGCCTAATATTTCATCAAATAAATCCTGCACATATGCTTACTTAACTCTAAAATAATTTTAAATATTTGGTAAAAATATACAAATGAAACAACCTTGAGAGGTTGTGTAATAAGGACTGACGAAAAGAATGCAATGATTAATGATGTAAGCCATTTTGATGTTTTTTCATCTCCAAATTCTATGCCATATGCCCATATAAAAAAGAGTGATGCTCCAATAGAGATGATAACCATTAACCAACCAAAGTAAACACACCACCAAGGCAAAGAAAACTTTCTTTTCCGATGGAATATCTGAGCTTCAGCATCATCTTTACCATTCATGTTTAAAGCAACCTCAGGAAGTTTTTCAGGATTCTTTCTTTTCCAGTCACGCCCTATTTAAAATAGAAGGAAATTTTTAATGTTTATAACTTCTTTTTGTTTTAAACAAAAATTACAAAATTCCACTACTGATTTATATAAGTGAAGAGCCTTCAAAAAGTAATGAGACAGATGAACTAATGTCAAAATAAAATAATTTAGGAAAAGGAACTGCTTCTATTCAAATACCTTCAGTTTCAATCATTTGAACATATGTAATTATAGTGCTGCATATTCATTCTTAATGTATATAGATAAATAAATTTTCGTAATCCGGTAAGGCTACAAAAGTTTGTGCATACAACTGAAAAGTATCTTTAAAAATGCTTGGAAAATTAAATAGCTTACATGAAAAATGCTTTGCTTAATTCAATTACTTTAACATGGCACAGTATATTTATGAATATGAGATACTCTAACATACTTCCAGTAGGCCTTAAATGTTGACTACAGAGATAAATACCAATACTATCAAGGCAGCTCTATTACTGAGACAATTGCTAAGCAGAGCATTACTTACATAAGCAATTATATACTGAGATAATTGCTAATGCAATGTAGAATATGTCAACTGGATCCTGAACCTGTTCAAGTAGCAAGTTCAGAATTTTTAGATTTCAAACTTTAGCCTAACCTGCATGTGCATTCTCCTCTCTGCCATGCAGGCTGAGTCAAAATAGACATTACAAAAATGAGAGATACCATGAAGAAAGTTTGTGTATGTTATGCTGCAAACCAGAAGAAATATTATATTATTAGCTTTAGGTGAATCATACTTATTTATTTATTTGCATGTAAATAAAGTGCTTTCTTGTACTATGTATGTATGATTTATGAAACTTCTCACATAATGTACATGTACCCACATGTAATGAACCCACAAAATACAATGGAAGTGTCACACCCATATCCTTATAGCATATGACTATGCTGCATGACTTCCATTTGTTGCCTCAAGAAATAAAAATAACTTCTTGGGTGATGATTTTATTTCACTGATGAACTAAATAATGCTGTAATGAGAACACCACGCTGGGAAAAAACTCTGAATGCCACCCAGAAATTAGTAAAGAGAGAAAACTGGTATATTCAGTTTGTGGAAGAATACTTTAAAAATATGTAATTATGTTCTACCTTCTGTCTTCCATATTAGCAGAAGTAGTGATTCTCTGGTGCATAAACTGAAAGGTTATGATGTGCCAAACACAAGTTAAATGCATTTCAGAAGATAGTATATAAGATCAAACAAAAGCAGATACATAACATCAAATAAAATAATGCAACAGTGAATGTTGAGATGTAGAGGTACATCAAATACACATAATTATTTAAAAACAGGTAAAATCACACAGTAATGAAGTACATTAAAATATGTAGTATTAAAATACCAAGCCATTACATTAAAATCAAATAAAAAACTAAATAATAAATGACAATCTCTCTTTGGTGTAAAAATAACTTGGAATATATCTATTATTCAGTCAAGAGGCAAATCACAGTGACTAAAATATTTCAGTCAAATCTTGTTGAAATTAGGACATTCTATTAAAAACTGGTGGATTATGAAAACAGAATTACAGTTTGAACAATCACATTTAGTCTTGGCTTTTAAATGATACTAAACATTCCATAGTTGCTATCATATTTATGATTTTGCTCTTGATGATCATGTTGGTATCTCTAAGAGGAACAAGCCCACTGGAGAATTCCACAACAGAATTTGCTGTGATGTCTGCCAGTACATTTTTCCTAATACCTACATGTCTGGGAATCCAGCAGTAAAGAAACCAATATTATGTCTTAGGATTTCAACAATTACCAAATTTCAGGCATCAGAAAATACCTTTAGAGTCACAATAAATAATGAACTATTTCCAGCAAAGCTTTGTGTGAAAGGACATAATACACAGCAGTTAACTCCAAAGTGAGCACTGAGCAAGAATCATGCAATCATCTTCCCTCTTTATCGTGTACCAGAATAAAAGATGTTCCAGGATGAATCGTTGCTTTTGAACTGTGATGTTCCAACACAATTGGTTGCTTTTGAACCATCAGTATAAATGGAAATGTCAAGGCTATATTTATGCCTGAGTTCAAGGAGCTGTTTATAAATGATGTCACTCATATTGCTTTTATTCAAATGACAGAAAATGTCCAGCAGGTGGATTTATGCACTTTCCCGAGGTGTAATTTTAAAATGCTTTACTGTCAGAGCATTCACCTCAGATAAGAGATATTCTTCAATCAGTGACCAGGCTCTAAAAAGGAAAGAAAGCACACAACATGTCTGTACTTCAAACATTGAAAGGTATCATCATGCAAAGTGGTCTTACTAGAATGTTCTGATTTTGGCACTATACTGAAAAAAATGGAAAAGAGACAACTGCTCATGCATTTGAACACTTGCTCCAATTATGGAGCAAGTGTTCAAAACAGTCACCATGCAGACTCTTCGTCCTATACACTCCGGAACATCTCCGGAGAGCCTGGTGATGAACAGGAGCTAGCTTTAATATCACAGAAAGCTGTGTACAGCCATAAACCACGGAGCCATAATCCAGTTTAAAGGACACTAAAGCCCTGTAAATGCACATCATAGTGCCATGATCTGTGTCCCAGAAGGTGTCTGAAAATACATTGAAAAGATTCAATGTTTTCAAACATTTCTTCTTAAGCACACGTGCAATGAATGTTACTTTTTGATCAAACAAAAAATTCTAAAAATTTTATTTCAGATGCAGCAGGAATTAATGAATCATGAAGATATAGCTCAGGCTCATGGTGGAGATTATGATTTTTGCAAAAGTGCATACTAGATTTGAGAAACTGAAATCATGTTGAATTGACCAATTAATGATTCTGTTAATTGCAATTTGTGGTTGTCTCTCAACATACTTCATGACCACTCCTTAACATCATCAAAATACAAAATGTATGAAAAAGAAGAAGGAAGTTCCTTTCAGACAGTGGCTTTTTTCCAAAGACTTTTTTTACAGTCTATTTTATGGCTAAATAGAGTTACTCAAAGGATACGTCCTTCAGGTATACCTTCTCCCTGATAGAACATGTCTGCCAAGGTGGTACTCATTCTCTCTTGGAAAGTTTTAGCCTTAAAATAATTCAAGGGATAGCCATACTCACAAAAAGTGAGTCCGAGGCCTTCCAACTTATATAAAAACAATCTCATTATTCTTCCAATAACTTGCATATAAAAAAAAAGAAACAGTGAAAAAAATTATATATTTTCAAACAAAAAATTATTGATATGATTAAAAACAAAATAAATCAGCAAAATTTATGGGTTGAACTTTTCATCAGAAAAATATATTAATAACAAATGATCTTTGAACTAAATAAAAGAATGACCTCTCCTATTAGAAGTGTTTTTGCTAACATTCTCTAAACTTGTTTTTAAAGTTTAAATCTATTAAGATATTATTATTATTATATATCAAGATAATGTATACTAGGAAAGAGATACAGTCTCAAGCTACACTAAAAGCCCATAACATGAGTAACATCTCTCCCCAGAAGCCTCTCAAAGAGACCAAAACCACAGAGGATGACCATTGCTTTTACAAGTCCCTGCTGTTCTTGAATGGACCACCACATGAACAGTGGTTCTAGCCCTTTTGAAGGCAGCTAATCTCCCCCAAAATGTACACTCCCAAAATATGGAAAATACAAGTTGCGAGCTCAGGAGGCTCTTGATTAGCTGCATTAGCAAGACAGCTCACTCATTCATGTGTTGCCCTTTCCTCATATCAAGGGAGTACCCTCGGAAAGGACATCGAGATAATGGAAAATTTTTATTAACAAGTACACAGCTTTATTGCATGCATCAAGTATTAAAATTCGTAGAAGTTTCACAGAATTATTAAAGAAAAAATATATATACTACTATTTTTCTTTTCATTGAACAAATTAAAAAACTTTCAAGCCTGCTATTTTCCTTCTCAGTGCTATCTATAACTAAGTGAAATTTTTACACAACAGTTTTTATAAATCATTTACATACAGTTGCTAAAACATTTATGATTAAGTGCTCATTCTTCTTTCATCTAGATAAAAAAAATTGTCCTTAAAACTAAACAGAGATACATAAATCTAGTTTTCAATTTGAATTTTTCAAACACTTCTAGAAAAGTTCATAGTTCCCAGATGTTTTTCACTAATAAATTTTTTGCTGCCTTTTTAAAGGATTTCTCACAAACAATTAAATACAAAAAAGTGCATACTGTTATTTGCATAGATAAAAAAATTGTAGTTATTTAATTAAACAAAAAAAATTAAAAGAAATATGAATTTATACTTCTATAATCCCTAGTTATTTTATGTGATTTCTTGAATGTCGAATTGTTGAAGTATTCTTCTCAATTTCTATGTTCAAAAGAAATTGTACTGTGTCCTCAAATGCAACATACACAAAAGTTTGTTAAAAAAAACTGATTTAGTATCTCTCAAATATTGGAGAAAAAAAAAAAAAAAAAAGATTAGAGAATTTTTTTTTTTTTGGTTGTTGTTGTTGTTGTTTGTTTGTTATTGTTTTGTTTTTGTTACTGCTGTTTATAAGTAGTAATCAAAAAGCAACAAGTATACCAACAATACAGTTAAAATCTTTACATGACAGATATATATATATATATATGAATCTATATTTGTACAGATCGAGTATGATGAGTGATCAAAATAATCATGAAAATAGGAATAAAAAACAATGGATTTAGATGGAATTCTTATAGAATGTTTAATAACTCTTTATAAGAATAATTGACATACTTCAAATTTATAACTTAATTTTTTTAATAATGAAAATTTGAATCATGTTAGCCCAAATTATAAAAATGCACAAAACTGAGGTAAAGCTTGGAGCATATGTTGACACACTATATTCAAAAGGATTTGTATGAGACATTTTGAAACACTGTTCAGCATTATTTCACAGTTATCACACAATGGAACATATTTGCATAATTTATTACTATTGATGTTTTTCTGACATTATTAATTATTATTCTACTGACAATTACAGCATGTTAACAAAATTTTGACTGTTAATATATAGGCTATTTTTTTTCATAGCTTTTAGCCTTTCAGATAAAATGGAAAAGATCTTTTTTTTTTTTTTTTCCCCCCTTTTCTCTTTTTAAATTTCAAAAGATAAATTTAAGAGAATATTTTTGAAGAAAATGTCACACTAAGGATTTGCAGTATTTGTGCTTTTATACTGCATGTATATCATATGAAATATAAATTAAAAATATTAACATAAAATTACTTCATATTTTGAGAACGTATTCTAAACTAACACTAAGCATTTAACATCATTCAAGTAATAATTTTGCTTTCAAATAGATCATCTTATGTATTGCAAGAAAACAAACCAGTATTTTTTTTAACAAATATTTCTTATAACTTTTTTTTAAAAAATCAGTATATAAATTCTGTATTTAACTAATATAGCTCCTTGTGTAAAAAGTGGTTTCAACCCCAAATGCCACATTTACTTGCATATTCTCCCTACTTTTTTTTAGCAATTTCTCTGCTTGAAAACTCAGTGGCAAAAAATACGTAGTGTATACTGTTTTCAATAAGATGGCTTAAATTATAAGCATAGCACATTAAAAAGCACCCCTAAAGAGACACTAACATTATTATGTATTTCAAAGAACTTATCAGTTTCAATAATATTCTTTTTACTTACACAAAATATTTTCCTCTTTGTACATACATTTAACACTGCCACAATAAATTAGAAGTCTCTAAATCATATGCTGAAAAACAAACTAGGATGAAAAGTACATGAGCGGAAGAAATATGCATGTAAGTATGGTGTATTGTGAGTTATCAGAAAAGAATTACATTACCTGAAAATTTACAATATATCACTTACTTTGTTTTTTCAGTGCTTCTTCAATACTAGATGGTCGTAACTTTCGAGGTCGAGATTTTCGGAAAAAAAATATCATGACAAAAGTGGGAGGGAAAATTATAAAATTGGTTATAAGTCCTACAGCAATCTGGAATTACAACAAAAGTTTTATATCGATAAATAAATAAATAAATAAATAAAAATTAAACATAAAAACAAAATTATGAAATATAATGGCTTTTTAACCCACATAAAGCTGCAGTAAAACAAAACAGTTAATAGTATAGATTTAAGTTTGCTTAAGTAAGCATAAAGATCAGCAATTCATAAAAAGGAAGTAAACAAAAGAATAATAAAAGTAATATTACGTAACCATGAAAATAAAAAAACATATATAATATGCACATATATGTGTGTATCAGTATATAATTACAATAAATAAAAAAACTCATATGCATACCCAAAAAAGTACTCAACTGCATTTTACAAAAACAAAATTTTGATTATACATTATGCAGTGCATAAAATGAAACTAAATACATTCAGACAAAGAATTTAAGACAAGATTGTATAGTACCAAAAAAAATACTGACATTAAAAAAATAATGAATAAAATAAATTCCCTTTATAAATTCCAAAAATTTTAGCACTGAGAGCAAAAGAATTTATGGATGCATCTTTTCTACACAAATTCCGAAAGAAAAATCATTAAACAATACAATTGTGGCATGGGAATTTACCAACCGTTTTTTTTTAAATAATTTTTATATTTTAACCTTTCATTTTTGATACCCTGAGTTAAAGTAAAATCACATAAAAGCCAGTTATAAGTGCATAATTCTATGAGGTTAGGTTAATTGATTAAACCTAAGCAGCTTGTTGACTACCTGCCTATAAGGAGGGATGCCTTTGTAGAAGACTTTTTAAGGGAAACTGACTCGCATCCACATTAAACATGGAGCAAAAATATGAAAACCAATCATGCAGCCAGCCCGTTCTCTGAGATTCTATACCAGATTGAACCTCTTGTGCTTAGTAGTTCTAACAGCTGGTGGATCAGTAAATTCCATGAGCAAGTTACAAGTTGCTTACCTCTCCAAAATTATGAAAAGGTAAAATTTATGAAAAGGTAAAATTTTCACATAAAAGCTTTAACTTAGCTGAAATTGCTCAAAAATGTGTGGACTTTGCATTAAATTTACAATTTTTCAAGATTACAAACCCATTAATTTTTTTTTTTCTTTGAGTATGTTATTCTAGTCAGTTATTCACTTTCATATGATATGCATTGCATTCAAATGTGATTTTTGGAATTCCTTAGTAAGTTGGAAGATGAATTGTTTCTAAGGTTAAGAATCGCATAAAATTCTTTTAATGCAGCTCAACATGTAAAAGCCTATATTTAAGAATAGGACCCTGTAAAAAGTAAAACAGACAAAAATAAATGACAGTTTTGAGAAGGTGTTACTAAATAGGCAGAAGACAATATTGTATCATGATATGATCATCTGCTTAGATTCTTTTATGCTTATTACAAATACACCAAAATACTGTTTAACTCAAATATAGTTTAGTTCCAAATAAAATTTGAAGATGTGATTGAGTTAAATATCCACCCCAGAAATACTGAAGTAAAATTGTAGATGGAGGCAGAGATCTTTGCATAGTCTCAAGTATATTTCAAAAACTTAAAATATGATGATAGTGAATTTTGCTTTAAAATGATTTAAACTCTAACAAAGCACTCAAAAAATTTTACAGTCAGTTGTAATAAACCATTCAAAGGACACTTTTATATGAACTCATTTACACACATGTTAAGCTCATCTCTACTAAACTAGACATGCCCAATCAACTCTAGCAAAATATTTAAGAAGTTATCAAATTTAACTAAAAAATAAGAAGAAAAAAAAGGTAAAAATCAAAAAAGGTATCATCTAACTGCACAAAACTGGCATTCAGAAGTGCAGTATGTACAATAATTAACAGTTATACAACATAAATTGATTACAAAATGCTTTGCGCAGACACAAAGCAAAGTTTTCAGGAAACATATTTGTCTATATTGAAAATGTGTGTGTGTGTATTTAATTATGGCAAAGCACACGAGGGCTATCTGCCTAAGGGGAGGGATGCCTTTCGTGGAGGACTTTCTAAGGGAAACTGGCTCGTATACACGTTACACATGGGGAAAACCACGAAAATGCCCATGCAGCCAGCCCGTTCGCGGGATTCGAACCTCGGACCGAACTACCAGTGTTCAGCGACTTTACCGCTCGGCCGCTGGTGGGCATCTATATTGAAAAACATTATTATTTATCAAAATTTGTCATGCATACAATGCTGAATAAAATATTAATCCTCATGTCTCATTCATTACTTTAGTACTCAGGTTTGGAATGCACATCCCAAGACAGAGCCTACACCCAGTCACTCAGATACCCAAAAATCTAAGCCATA